ACAAATAATGATCAAACCCTTGATTGTATGAAAATAAAACCTAAGTGTAGGAGTGATGTTCTGGGGCTGGTGTCAGACAGTGTTGTAGGCGGTGTTTGTATGCGTGAGAATGTCACGTTATCGGTTCAGTAGCTGCAGCTTGCAGTTTTATCAGTGAAGGCGGATGATTCGTTTCCGTTTGAANTGAGGATATCTGTATGTTAAAGTGAAGTGGAAGAGGTGGGTAACCCCGCGTTACCGGAAGATAATTTATTGGTACATTCTAAGGCATTCGAAACCATTTAGGGGAACCTTATAACTGATTTGGAATATATTCTGGTGGCCCCTTCTAACCGATGACATAAGCTTCACTTTGGAGACGTTTAAGACATGAATTATCAAGTATCAAATTGGTTCAAAATAAGGAAACGATAATAAGATTTGATAGTCTCTCCCACCAGGTTTTTTCCTTCCATCTTCCTTCATGTAAATCACATGGATGGATCCTGAAACTACCTGCTCATTCTTGAAGCTAATGAACTGGTGACCAAATTGCTTGATTATGCAGTTAATTCTGTCTAGCATTGAATAATTTGATGGGTATGTTTGAGGTTAACCTGCCTGTTATTTGGAGCAGTATTTTTACCCGTTCTGGATTCATGATAAAAATAAAGAGAATATAGCTCGTTACACAGCAACGTTACAGTAGTGTTTCAAATCAACTGAAGTGCTCTGCAAATGCTACTCACTTTACTTATCTCACCAGGAATTCCATGCTATCCGAACGAATTTAGTGTTGATGTGTAGGCCTGAAAGCCACACCTGGTCTATTTTATTCTCGATAAAATGACTCACAAACTGTACTGTATTCTCATATTTCTCACCTGTTCACTTGACTGGATATCATATATGGTGAACTCTCTGGTTGGTTTCCCACTCGCATTTCGCTTTTGCGGTGAGAAATGAGTATTGCAAATCTACTCACTGAGTGTCGGCGACTACGAGGAACTTTGTTTCTTATGTACCAAATAGGGGAATGTTGGAATATTTACTATGAAAAAATATACGCCAAAATACTTTCTGTATGGCGGCATTCGTACACGCCGCTTGATTGCTGACGTATAGTGACTGAGCGAGATCGGATCACATATGGTCATTGTAAGAATGATGTTCATGTTGCGTGAGCGGGGCTTGATCAAGTGTGTTTGCCGTACCGTCACCGAATGATCGTGCAATCTCTTACATAACGATTCCAAGTGGTCGAAACAACTTTACCGAAAAATCGACTTATAAACTGTGTTCACTCTTCACCTAAGCAAAAGTCATTGTTTAGCCTATCTTTACTTTATAATTACGGGGAAATGGGCTACATTTCCTTCTGACCAGCCTCATGCATATCCCGATAAAACGATGCACCCACAGAAGATTGATTATAGTTGGGATGACATACGCTCAGTTTGATTATTCTTAAGTAACGGTTCCATTATAAGTCATCAATAGATGAAAAAACTGCCTTGCGTTAGAAAGAAGTATGAAACGGAAAGTAAAACTTGTTCTGTTTTGACATACTTGCCTTGGAAACGGCTGATATACGTCCACGTGCAGGCGTATGTATGCACTATGGAACCGCCCATTTAACGAAACACCCCTGGGGCATCATATCCAGACTGCGATTATATAGCCAAATTGTATGCTTCAATTCAATCCGCATTCTAGACCCTGATAGGTAGTTTTTCAATACGGTCATTTGAGGACGTCACCTTATAGGGACGTAAATCTTTCAGGTGTAAGTGTGCAGCTGTTCATTTGCCTTACCTCAGTTGAAGTTGTTTGGTCTTAGCTTCACCCGTCGCTCTCTGTTTTATCACCGTCAAAATCTTTCTTAGTGTATAACTTATCGGTTTAATTTGCAATGGTGGGCTAGCACCACCTTGATGTTAGCTGAACGCAGTTGATCACATTTGGTTCCTCTTCTTCCCATCATTTTCTTAGTGGAGCATTTTGAGTATTTTACCCGTTCAGTTATTGCTTTTTTTGTCACGCTGTGCAGGTCAACTGCAAATCAAACGTATGTGGATTTGAATCGTTTTCTGTCATACACGATATCTGGTCCTTACATTGTGTTCTAACAAAAACCGGTAAATTTCATTGTTTCAACCCTTTCCCCTTCGTTGCTTTATCCGAAATGCGCTGTTCATCTCAGCTCTTTCCTATCCCAAGCTTAATAACCTTTTCAACACAATTAGCTTTTTAATACAATGTTTCTTACCCAGTAGGGAAGCTCTGGTTCACAAACATCAGTTAAATACCTTTAACATTTCGTTTAGTTTTTCCTGGGACTCATTAATACTGGCGATGTTGCAATTCCTCCACCTGCATTTTTGTAACCTTTGAATTCTGAAACATGCTGATATTTTTTTCATTTCGGGCTATTAAGAATAAGCCCGTTGTTCAATGTGTGAGACAAGAGTTATTTTCTCAAATGAATGAACACTTATTAGGTTCACTGAAAGTTTATGTGAATAGGGATCTGGAGATCCTGAATTCCAATAGCAATTTCGCTTTCCATCTTCACCACTTCTGTGCTTTTTGTAGGGGGTCCTTGAATGCTCACAATCCCATTCCTGGAATTGGTTGTATATATATGAATAAAATAATAAGTGTTCCTAAGACCTCTGTTGTAGTCACGTATTCAGATTCATCCCATTCTACGTGCCAGTTGATCACCCACATTCCTCAAATACTTATTGCCAATTGTGTTTAAAGTACAAAAACATCCTATCATCCTACATTGTCCTGTAGACCAAATAATGGACGATTACATAGACTGCTGACAAGTCTTTCTTTTGTCCCGGTATCCTCACATCATGACTACTAAAGGTTGGGTCATCAAATAAAGAGCTTCTTTTCGCAAAATTTGTCACAACTGTCCGACGAACTCCTCTGTTCAAGTTACGTTGACAAAATGAAACGCACGGGTATTCCCTTTACCCATTGAATAAGATCGATTTTGTGAGTGGAGTGCGTTGTAATTTGTTGGAGAGTATATCGTTCATTTCGTTGTATGTTCAACTATGTGAGGGTGAATGCGCACCAGCTCTTCACTTCGTATGAGTTTAGACGTAGTGTCGATAATATAGAGTAACTAAACATCCCAACAATTATTGCGATTCCTCGCATTGAATCCTCTCTTCTATTCTCACTAGCCATACAGTTCTGTTCGATCACATTGAACGACTGCTCATTTGCCAATGCCGTGTTTGTTCATGGATTCTGATCGAATAAGTCGGGTCTGTGATCTCCTCATTCATTGATTGACCTGGCTTTCAGACTAAGCTGATACTAATAAGATCGGGAAGCGATGTGTCCGCCTTTTGGTCTACTTTATCATCGATTTTCCTTTGCCTTCTGCTTCTCATCTGTGTTTTGCGCTGTTGTCAGACCAGCTTCCCTCCTACACAACAACCTCTAAGCAGCAATCAGACTCACAACTCGTCTGTCTGGATGTTTGTATAAATGTGTTTGTGTGTACGTTGGTAGGCCAGTCCCTTCACACTGCAAGTGTACCACTAAAGTATATTGCTCATTATTGTTACGGAGAGACGTTTGATTATTCTGCTATGAGGATGCCTACTCTCATTCATATGTCATCAAGTTCTGACCGGTTGTTGCGATCAACTGTTTTTTTTGGTGTTCTGTATGCATTGGAATCTCAGTTTTTCTATTCGCTAATCACGCAACATTCACAGGTGAGAAGTTTTCTTAAGGAGGGTAAGGGACTCCCAAGATAAGCCATTGTGCAATTAGAATTGACACACAGTGTTACTAATACTCATCCTTCTGTCGG